GTGGTTGTTGGTGTTGTTTTTCTGACATGTTTGCTTGTTGTTGTTTTTGTTTTTACATTTTTGCTTGGAGCGCTTCCTGGAGGAGCCATGGTTGTTGGTTGAAACATGTTGCTTAGTTTTGCTTCTTGTGGTTTAGTGGTTGAAACCCAACCACTTAACTGCTAACATTTGATTTTTTGTTGGCTCCCCTTCCGACGTCAACCTGGCGGAGTCGCGGTTTTTTTTTGGACCCAATTGGCACCTCAAATCGAAGTAGAAGCCCTGTGAATCCAGTTCCTTTGATCCGAGGTTCATTAGATCTAAGTAGAAGCGGCACCGGTGAATCCAGATCTAATTGGATTCATCCCAATTGGTTGATTTTTTAGGAGCCGCGGGTAATCCAAGTTCTTTTCTTTGGTGCAATGCGTAGGAAATGAGGGAATGAACCCCGGCGTTGGTGAAACCAGTTGGATGCTTTATGTGGGGGTCGTTCCATGTCTCAGGGCCCCTGCAGCTGTGGCACCAGCAAGGTTTAGTTGGATTCATCACCTCTTCAGATTTCAACCACTAAACCACAATAAGCAAAAATGTAAAATGTTTCCCAACAACAACCATGAAAAATGGGAGGCTAGAGGGACTGGACCCTTTTGTCTGGTTTCCATTGAACCTGCCACTCGAGGTTAGCATACTGCAGAAATGGACGAAACTTGGAAACACCGGCTATGACAAATGGGGATGCGCACTCATGGGGGTCTCTCCAAAAACGTGGGAACCCAAACAAAGGGGTGTTATGGTGTTTCCAAATGATTCCCTGTCACAGCACAAGGCGCGCTCCCTACCAAAAATCGGACACATCTACATGACAGGCCTTCAAGGAACCGTCAACCAAGCTTTGATAGAGCAGTTAGGGCCCGGAAACCTGAGACCTTGAGATCCTGGTGATCGATAGCTTGGGGGCCGTTCGATAGCTTTGGGTCCAGATGTCTTTGAGCGGATTGCTGACTTTGCCTTGGGGTAAGGGCTCGTGTTGCAAGGAGTGGGCACAAATTGTGGCAACGCAGGACGTGAAAGTCTGTGCTTGCACGAAGCAATTTGATTTCATGTCCTTTGGACATTGGAGAACGCAGTGGATGAAAGATGTCACCCTGGATAAAAGCCTCAAAAGGAAATTTCAGGAAAAGTGCGAAATGAGGCTAGCCCATACGGCTTCAGAGTGTGGCACCTGCTTGGGGTCTAGGAGTTTGTCGAGGGGACGTGTCGAGCGGCCTGCCAAGGCGAGACCCAATCCTACGAGAAGGACCGGTTCCTTGCGATGGCGAATCGCGCAGAGAGGTGAGCCATGAATTTGACCCAGGATAGCGCCGGGCGGATATTACTTGGGGCTGGGGAGGTTCCCCCAAAAAGCACGGAGTTCGCGGAAAAGAGAAAAGCAACATACAATGGGACGCCGAATCAAGTTCATGCAAGTAATCCTGGGCAACTTTGATTGGCGGCTGGCGCGTTTTTTCGCATGTGCTGAGCCTTGCCGCCGAAAGTGGAATGGCGCCGTGGGAAATCCGATCGGTGCCACTCATCCAAAACCCAAGGCCACATCAACGTCCAAGCCCACCCTCACCCAGCCAAAAGAAATCTTACTGCAACTCACACAGGCCATTCTAAAGAGCAGGGACACTCAGCTTTTCTAAGTTCCAGTGTTAGCTTTTAGTATGTTTGGCCACCAAGCGAACCCCCTCCCCCCCTTTGGGCTGTGAGGGGTGGCCGGTTCTTCCACAACCATGGTCTGGGGCAACCGAAGGCTTCCACGATTTGAGAAAAAGCTTTCAGTCACCTGGAAACTTCACGATCCCGAGCCCAGATTGCCTCGGCCTTCTGCCTTTTGGTCCCCATGTGGCATAGAAAAGCTGAACCTCTGATTTCCAGGAACTTCGGAACTGTGGCAGGAAACGTTCCGTTTCCCACCCGACACTGTTCACACATGTGCGATTAATTGCGAATGTCCGTGCCCGACGGCATGCGTCATCCGCCCTTCACCTGAGCGAAAACCGTAACTGCGGGGCGCCAGGGTGAAAATGCCGCTGCGCGAAGAAATCGTGGGATTGGGTGTCCTTGTAGTGTTCGGGGTGTGTGAAACGATGGCAAGTCGGAGACGTATGGCAGTGTGGTTCAACATGTGCGGCAAGTCGGCTGAAATGGATCGGAATTCGGTCGATCAATGTCGATCAATTCTACCGGTTTTGGTTCTAAGGCTAGCCTCCCAGGTAGCCTGAAGCAGCCGTCGGAAGGTTTCCTTCAGAGGAGAGGCGTCTTCCAGGACCCTTCACCGCAGTGGGAAGTACCAGGTAGCTGTGCCCGCGCTGAATGAACCTGTCTTTGCGAGGGAGTCCCCCCCGCCCTTCCCGTGGTTTCAAAAGTGTTGTTGGGAAACTAAGGGGATGACTGTCACGCAGGTCCAAAAATTGGAGGATGCGTTGGAAAGAGCCTGCGAAGCAACCATCCCATGTTACAAGCGAGCTTAAGGAACCGAAATGGTGAGGACAATGTTGTTCGCCTCCGGATGCCTACAGTTGGCTTGGGCAGCTCATTCTGCGGATTGACAAATCCTGCTTCCGGTTGTTTGGTGGTACCAGCGTTTTGTTTTTGTTTGTTTTTCCCCGTTTTTTTTTCTCGAAGTGGTGCAGGGATTTTGCCCATCCACAGTAGGGGCATCCGGGATTCCACTCCCGGACCTTTCTGCTGCTTTTTGGCTTCTCTCTTGAACTGATTCTACATTTTTGGGTTCACTAAATACTACCCTCCCACCCTTTTCACACGGAACCTGACAGGAGGTCCCTTTTAAAGGCAAATGGTCCAAACCAGGACCCCGCGAACGTCAGGTTCCATGTTAGTTGGTTGGAGGGTAATCATAATCGAACATGTTGCTTGGCAAAAGCTCAGTGGTCTTCAGAGCATCCTTCCTCCGTTTCCGCGCGATTGGAGCCCGCCAGGCTTGAAGATGAGCCCATTTTGGATGAGGCCAGGGACGTGAGATATGAATTGAAGGGTGTGGGAAGAGGTTTTGTTGAACCAATCCAGCATGTTAGGATAGGAAGGCGGGCCTGTCCCTTTTTTGATGGCCAATGCTGGCTTTGCATTTCAGTGGCTCTGACTCGTCTAACGCTGGCGACCAATGCTCGCCAGCACCCCCATGAGGGAATAAAGCGAGCTCGCCCCTTCGGGAAGCGAGCTTGACCATCAGAAGGGTTGTTTCCCTCGTTCTTCCTTTCTTCTTCTGGTTGTTTAAAAAAGTCTTGTGTGGGATTATGGAAAGCTTTAGTTAGCGATAAGCCTTGATGGTTTGGAGATGTTCACCCCTGGTTCCTGAGGGTAAACGCGAAGCCGCCAATAGGGAAGCTGAGGTTTAAGCCCTGATTGGCGCTGGTAGGACGGTGGGACCCACCAGTCGACTCGACATCAAATCAAGAGACGAATGGCCGAAGTTTAGGAAGCCGCCGACATTTCGAAGCTTTCAAGTTTCCTTCCTGCCAGAAGCTTTCGACATGGCGCCTGGCTCGATAGCGTCTCGCACAGATATCCACGGATATCAACCTCCATGCTGTGAACCGTGAGTCGAGCTAAGTAAGGGTAGAGAGTTGTATTCCTATGTCCCCTTAGACAAATTCGCCTTGAATAAATCTTAGAGCATGCTGTTTTTCGGGTTCCCTTCGGCCCCCAGTCAGATCCGACGTTCATGCATGAGAACTCCAAGGGAAGAACTGCAAAGATGGATCGCTTCCTGCCTCGCAGAACATCTCCACTGGACTTGACTTTCCTTTGTAGGTTCAAGAATGGGAGACCCTTTGGGCATTGGTTTAGGAGTTGTTGGGTTTATGCAGCAGGTGCTTCAGGGAATACTTGCCCTTACCGCGACATGTTCAAAGGCTGATTGTATCATAGATGAACTCACGGCCAGGTTGGACCCTTTAGAGGCTAATTTCCCATAATTAAGCCAGAACTATCAGGCAATTAACCTAGAAGCTAGGGGTTCATACCAGGATTCACATATGGACGTATACATTCAGCCATTGACATGTGCCAGTCAGTGTGGGCCTCCGATTTGTGGAGTTTGGGTTGGGTTCCCGTTGCTGCAATGTTTGGGTGTGAAGTTGTGTGATTATGGGAACCTGTATAGCCGTATAGCTTGAGAACTCCGGAATGCGGGTGAGGCTGATTCACTTCGGATCAGAATTCGTCTTTCAGAGGCAAAGTGCAACATGACCCATCGATGGTTTGAGTTGAACCTAGCCACCCAGCGTGGGTTCATATCGGCGAAAAGGGGGTTTTCTTGAAGTTCTGCTCACCTCAACCCTCTCCGCTACCCGCGACCCCCCTCCCCAAATATGGGAACCCACAACATGCCTTTTGGTTTCCGTGCAAAACCAACCATGTACCACCTGGGCACCGAGCGTCAAACAAAAGCGGAGCCTTGGATCCCTAGCTGCTGAATCGAGTGGCTCAAGGAGGCACAAGCGGAGGTGTCAGCACGCAGACGATGACGACGATTTCACAACGAAGCAATGGCCAAGTCGCACCTGGCTCACCTTTTGATGATTTTCTACTTGAAAATCTAGGTTTACTTGTTGGTTTGGCAAGTCAAACGAAGGAGGTCATGGGCGCATGTACCTCGTACAATCCTTCCCCACCTACAGACTCCCAACACCAAATGGAACCCCGGATCCGTCGTCAATTTTGCGGGGGTGCTTCACACCCTGACCCATCATGTCTGACCCAGCCTTCCTGGCCCTTTGCCTGTCAAATCAATCCTCAAAGATTTCCGCCCACGGAACCCTAGGCAAGGCAGAAGGAAGGCACCTGATCTTTCTCCGGCTTCAGCGCTACGCGTGCTGTTTGTGTTGGCGTTTGCTTAATTGCGACTTTTAGCAAATGGCCGTTGCCCCCTCGTCTACCCCTCATCTTCCCCTTCCGTGCGCTGAATCCATCACAAACGGGCGGAGCGAATCCCTCAGCGGATTCACGTCGTCGCCATGTTGCTGCCGGTGGGTCGACCCTGCGCGGAAGCGTTTGCCAGGCACCCGCAAAGTGAACCAATGCATCCCTACCCCCTCGAAAATGGAAAATGAGAGGGGGATGAGGTAGGTTTGGGAATTTGTCCCTTCCATTTTTTCCGGCTCCATGGGCCTTGGTTGCGAAAAGACTCCATCAGCTCCATCTCAGTCATGTTTGGATCCAGCCTCTCCGGCCAAAAAGGTCTGACGTTCCTTTAAAAACCATTTATCCTATTTTCCCCAGCTGGTTTTGAAGGGAAACGATTTCACTATCGCAACATGTTTTTGTTTTCCAGGGTGCAGAAAAGTAAATGGAGGCAAAGCATCACCCTAGTGGCCCGATCTAGCTTAAGCTTCATGGGTTGTGTAGCCCCCCCCCCCCGCCCCAAAAAGATCTGGACCAAGCCGATGGGGTCTCAGATTGTTTCCCAAGTCCCGGCAGAAATCAATTTCAACCGTACCCCTACCCCCTTTCCCAGGTGAACCAGAAGCAGTTTGCCTTAATGCTCACACCTTATTGCAGACGGCGTGTTCAAACAACGTTTGAAACTTGTTGCAGATGGTTTGTTCAAAGTGTTTAAGAACAAGTAAAAGATGTTGCAAAAGTTGTTAAAATAACGGTTGAAGCTTGTTCACCCGAATCAATGTGTGTTTTTGGAAACTTCTTGCAGAGTTGTTGAAACAATGGTTAAAGCTTGTTCAGCCAGTGTTAAAACAAGTAAAACACAAATGCTGCAACTTGTTTAAATAGTCGTTGAAGCTTGTTCACCCATCTAGTGTTTAAGAACAAGTAGAAAACAACGTCTTGCGGAGTTGTTTAAGCAACGGTTGAAGCTTGTTCACCGGAAGGGTAAAAAAGAGAACACAAATGTTGCAGAGCTGTTTAGCGGTTGAAGCACCCGTCTTGAAAGAATGGGGGCTGGGTGTTTAATAAGGGCTTATTTGGGCTCCCCCCCAGCCATGATGAAAGAATCTCTTGGACCCTCGAGGCCCTTGGGCCCGCTGCTCAGAGCTTCCGCGCCTTCACGGACCGCGCCTGCCCGAGCGCCGCGGCAGGCCGATGCCCGGAAAGCGCCCAACACCTCGGAGGGCTGTGTGGCTTTCTCGAGAAATCCGACCCCCAAAAAAAAGAAGAAGGAGAAGAAGGAGAAGAAGGAGAAGAAGGAGAAGAAGGAGAAGAAGGAGAAGAAGGAGAAGAAGAAGAGGTGTTCTTTTTTGGTTTCCCTTTTGTTTTCCTAAGACGAGGTGTTCTTTTTTGGTGTCCCTTGAGTTTTTCTTTTTGGGTTTCCTGAAAAACGAGAAAGAAGGGGGTCTCAAAAACGACGCACCCAAAAGCGCAAATCTTTAGCAGGATGCTCTATTCTGCCTGGCTTCTTACTATGGTGAGGCAAACATATCTCAACCGTTTGCAAGGTTTGTAGATCCAAAAAGCTTGTTGCTTGTTGTCGCTGCTCTTTGACCTCTCGACAGTTGCAAGCAGTGTTGGCCAAAAGTTCTCACTCACTTCCAGAGTTCCTGGGTTCCTTTAAAGCGTTTTGGGAAGACCATCTTGGTAGATTTAAAAAATAATAATAATAAATCCAGGACTTTGTTTGGCCAATCCACTCGGTCGGAAATGAGTGTTGCTGCAAACGGAGCCTGGCCTCCTTTGACGGCCTGGCCCAACCCTGGTCGCTACAGCCCGAGGATTATTTGACATGCATCACTGGAACGATGCACCCAAGAACCCGCCAAGATACCCCGCTATTAGCGTCTAGAATGGAGGGAATGCTTATTGAAGGTTTGGGCGCGGTACAGTTGAGTGAAGCTACATTGCGCAACCTCCCCATTTAAGGTTTGCTCATCCTCCGCACAGCCTCTAAATCCCTCCGAAAAATCAACCCAAAGCAGGAGTGGCTCCCTAACTTCTTCCAAACGGGTCACATTCAGTTGCCCAAAGCGAATCGACCTTTTGACCTTTTGGCTTCCCCATGGTCCATTTTGACTCATGGCAACCCACAAGGTGACATCCAGGCCAACGGGTCAGAAGGTGACAAACCTCTTCCCTAGGACCACTGGTCCCTTTGGCGCAGGCGCCTTGGGCCCGGCTGCAAGCCGCGCCCTGCGCGCGGCTGTTGTGCCTTCTAGTGCTGTGGTCCGCGGCTTTGGGCGACTTGACACAAGCTCGGCGCTTGGAGGATCCTCAGGTCCCTTAAAGATGGTTGATTGGGGGAGGGGGGTGGCCGGCCCCTGGAGACCTCCATGTCTGGGAACCAATTTTCCATTTTTTTTGGAGGGAGACTGGAAAAATGGAGTTGGGGGACTACCCATGGTAGGGATCTTGGACGTTCAACGTAAGGTTGTAGCCGCGGCGAGAACTTGGGACTGCAGGGTCCCTACCCACGTCCTGAGCTCCTGGACTTTCAACTTTTGGGAAGACCGTTTTGGCACGCAAAAGTTAGACTCTCTTTTAGGCAAACCTACTGAGGTGAGACAAACGACATGGTGATAAGCTTCAAGAGGGTTGGACCTCCAAGGCAGATGTCATTTTGCTGCGAGTCGTCTGAGGGCAACAGACTTTCGAAAAATGCGTGGGGTGTGCCCTTTGTTGGCTGCCTGGACATCCTTGTGGTTCCGGAGAGGCCTTCATTATGTATACATAATAAATTATCATTTTCATCACCAACACCATATTTTAGAGAAATATTATATTCATCAACAGTTGTAGCTTCAATTGGCCTTGTAGCTTGACCCGTCCAGATGTATTGTCAATGGTAAGGGATGAGACGGGGGGCACGCTGGCCAAGATCCATTTCTGAATGGTTGTAAGGGGATGGGTCAAACTTAAACCACCAGGGGACCGCAGGTTTTAGCCCATGTTTCCATTTGCCAGGATTCCATTTGGGGAACCTATTCTTGACCCACGCCCATAAAATTCCTCGCCAAACATGTTCATGGCAGCTCGGGACACCGCAAACAGGTGTTCCTGCAAAACCGTTTGGGTTGCAAGATGATCCAGCTTGGGGTGATTTATGAACCGGCCCCTATTTGCATCCTTACTCGGTTGCCCAAAACCGACCTGTTGATCTTTTGGGTCCCCCTTTTTGGTCCATGTGTAGTGATACAAAAGGTTAAACTTCTATTTCTGAGTCTGTGGGCAACGGAGTGTAAGAGGTTCCGCCGGAAAAAGGACCCTTCATTGATTCCCTAAGGGTCCCGGGGCTTAATTCGTACGCAGACTCCGGGGTCCCCGTACCACACAAGTTGCTTTAGGTATATATATATATATTCCGGAATTCTCGAATTCCATCGATCGAACCCAGAAAGCTTCTTGACTTCCAACAAGAACGCCTCCAAATCAAGCAAAGCCAAGGGGTTGCCCAGGCCTCGGCCGGAGCTTTCTCTTCACCTCGTCCCTGGTGTCGCGTCTGATGCTCGGAGTCTTCGGGCTCATCTTCGCCTCGTTGGCGCGGCAGGCGGATGGGCTCATGGGCGTTCACGGCATCTCGCCCCTGAGAAGCTCGCCGGAAGCGGGCCCTTTGGGCGCAGCTTGTTCGCTGAGTTGGGTTGGAATAGATGGGCCGACCCACTGGTATAGCTTGGTTTGTTTGCCCCATGGAGACCTGGCAAAGCAATGTTGTCCAAAAGGTCACCTATGCCTAAGTTTGTTTGACACACTTTGGGGTGGTTTGCTGCCTGAGCGACCCAACCAAACGTGCCTTCAACAGAGAACACCTATTGCTTGCTGCTATGATTGTTGCAAGTAGTGGGGAGTCCTGTTGCTTTGCCACATTTTACCTGGGTGGTTGAATGTGGCTGTGCGGTTGCAATCCACTGTCCCAGATCAATGCACTCAAAACACTGCCTGAATGCAGAAGCCAGCCCTGTCCTCTTTTCTCCACTTAGCAGGCTTCCTTTCAAGGATGCGTTTGTGGATTATGATTTGGATCCTCTAAATCAGCTTGCAAATGCAGTTTTCTCAATAGACCAAACGTTTTTTGTGTGTTGCGTCCGTCGTGTTTTGACTTTATTTTCTGATTACTGTAAATGGACACACCAAAAGAAAACCCGCTGTCGCATGGTCCTGACACATTCTGACACCCTTAAAAAGAAAGCCCACAGTCACGTTGGTCCTGACACCCTTGCCAGCACGGAATCCTGTCCAGGAACGAAGTTCTTTGGGCGCCCCGGTCGCCTCGCGAAGATCTGCAGCTTGGTGGCTTTGGCTGGCGCCTGCCTGCCGTGCGGCAGATGGGGCGGTGGATTTGCGGCCGTGGCATTGCTTGCGCTCTCGCAGGTCTATCGCGTGTTCCTGAAGGCCGGAAAACCAGGGGGAGACAAATTCCTGGTGTCCGAGCCATGTTCCGCTTTTTTTTTGGGGGGGGGAAGTGGCGATTTCAGTGGAACCCACCAATTGCCGCTTTTCAAGGCATCCCGTGACAAAAGCTTGACATTATTTTTTTTTGGAGGGAATGGGCGGCAAAAAAAGCCGGAAGCCAAGTTGCAAACACCGCATCTTCGGAAAACAGAGGCTCGGTCAAGATTTCTGACACGTGTTGGGAGGGACGCGACTCGCTGATTTGGCTAACTGTCCCTCGGGGAGCGGGGAGACCGGTAGTTTTGACCATGGCTCATATCCCCTGTCTTCTCCCCACCGGCCTTCCCATTCCATCTCTGCATTCGCTTGGTGGTCATGGATGGGGAGAAAGGAAAAGAAAAGAATGGCCCATCTTCCCTTTCATTCCAAAGGGACAACCTATGCTGGTAATATTTGTATGGTGCATGCCGTGAAAATTATAAGCGGGGAAGCAAGGGTGGAAGGGGGACCTGTAATATATTGCCATAATTTGCTGAGTGTTGGTTGTGCCTGGATGTGGCTGGTTTGTGCTTCGATGTTCGCTTGTAATACTCGGAACTGAACAGGCGCGAAGTACAGTTTGGGTAGAGGTAGATGGCACCACCTCCCCGATCAGGGATTAGGGGCGGGGGGTGGGCGCTTGGATCTAGTGAACATTTGGCCGAACTCTATTACCAGTTTTCCTGGTAGTTTCCTGGGAATGCAACTCCTGCCAAGAGCTGCTGAGCATAGATTTTGAGCATACACCATCCCTCCCATGATGAGGATACCTTTCACAGGCGGTCTGCTCAAGACTGCTCAGAAGTTCTGGAAACGTTTGATTTGCTTCTGGACCAGTAAGCAAAGTCTTCTCCGATCTTTGCTAGATCGACACAACATAAAAACGCATCTGAACAGCTTATTTTGCATGTTGAGGTGCCATGCCAAGACACGCTGCCCAGGTACTTGTCATTTTGTTCGCGGCGCTCAACAATGTTGACCCCATATTACTCAACTCAGTTCACTAATGGTGAGGTGTCCCTGGGTTTAGTCGGGAATCAGACCACTTTTGGAGGGAACACACCCCTATTCATAAACTGGTTGGTTGAAATTTATTTGGGGTCAACATTATGTTTTTTCTGTGGGGGGTCTCCCTTCAAAACCTTCGGCTCAGGCAGAGTTCCTGCGTTTCCAGTGGGACACCCTGGCCGTGGAGGCCGGCTTTTGGGCGGCGCTGGCGGCTCTGCCGCCCGTGATCGGTGCCGCTTCGGCGTCCGCTCGGATCTGCGGAGCTCTGTGCAACTGGGCACGTGGAAAGAAACCACGAGGGAACCCATGGTTTCACGAGGGAACCCATGGTTTCTTGAGGTTTGGGGAAGGGGAGGGGGGGGGAGCCCAAACAATTAGTTTCCAGAAAGTAGGGATTGGTCAAAAGTCGGATTGCAAGTCTCAAGGCAATTTGGTTTGGAGAAGATAGGGGGCCCTTTCTGGTACAGGGACTATGAATCAGGATTTAAGATTGGCCACCCCCGAGTTTGTTTAGAGTGAGAAATATTTCATAAGGCTCGGCGGAATTGATATCTCCCAGTGGAAAACCCACTGAGTTCTAGCTTGCAGTGGGCAGTGGGGGTTTCACTCGCCAAGCATGGCTCTCAGAAAATGGGTACCAAACGAAGATGTGGACAAGCAATGGGCTTCAGTCTAGGGGCAGCCACCCGTTTCCCTTGTGCTAGAGTGGTAATTAATTGGAAACCCCACCCTTGACTTTGCGAGGAACAGACGTGCACCGAAAACCCTCTTAACTTCTGGTGTTTCTTGCAGTTCTGCGGTTACATCTTCCCTGGCGGTGATTTTAAGCTGAGTTTCCTTTTTGGTTGTTGGTGATGTACCTAGGTTGGACAGATAGTTGGATGAGGGATTGAGCCAGACCCTCGTTTAAACATGTTTACACCACTTTGAACAACCGATTTGTTATTTGAACAACTGCGCATGTGGCAAACAAAACTGGATGCGAACGCCCAACATAGTGGCGTTCCTGTCGTTTTCCCGCTAAACCAACCTTTAAAGAGTGGGCATTCCTGTTGTTTTCCCTCCAAACCAACCTTCAAAGCCTGTTGGTTTCCCTTCAAGCGAACCTCAAGAAGGCTGCACCACACCAACCCCACCCCAACCCCACCCCAACTCCACCCCAACTCCACCCCAACTCCACCAACTGCTCCCCGCCTCCACCCCAACTCCACCTGCCCAGCCCCGCGTTGTTTTGTTTTCTCCTTTTTGTTTCCTTCTTTTTTTTCGGCTTTCCAGCCCCAGGAAGAAAGTCCGGCGGCCTGAGGCATGCACAGCCTACAGCAGCTGGGCTTCAAGCTGATGTGGGGCTCCTGCCTCTGCAAGCTGCTGCTCCGGCTGCACGGATCTCTTCTCATTGAAGCCTCTGGCTGTTTTACGGGCGAGGGGCCTATGACATGGTCCCCCGGGTCCAAATCAAGTCAGTGCTTGGTGGCAAGCCCAGCCATCCGCGTCAAGAAGAAGGTCTGACTCGTTGCTTGAGAGCTAAACTTTTCGCAGGTGATCTGAGGACCGCCAAGTTTGCAGTGGCGCCTTTCGCGGGATTTTGGGATTAGGATCGGCCGCCAACCCTTCACCCGATTGTTCAGCGGCACCCTTTATCGGCCGACCCTTCACCCGATTCAGCGGCACCCTTTTTCCGTTTAGCATGGTTGTTGTTGGGAAACATTTTACATCTTTGCTTGTTGTGGTTTTGTGGGAAATCCCCACTTAACTGCCAAAATTTAAATTGTTGCTCACCTTCCAACGTCAACCAAGTTATGCTTGATGGCTTCCCCACTAAACCTGGTGCCACCCGGGAAGCGAGAGAAGAGTCAGCCCCGAAGGTTCTACCAAGGGATTTTCTATTGGGCAACTTCTGTACGGAATCTCCTCCAAAGTGATCAAGCCATGGGGGGTCATTCCCGTGTTCGGTATCACAACTCAGTTGCCCAAAGCGAAGATTAACCTTTTGGTTTCCCCAGGTTGGTCAATGTTCAGCCTTGGCCCCAAGGTTCACCTTTCATTTCATTTCCAGGTCCCCAAGGCGGAAAGTGAGACTTGGAATGATCGCCATTTGGCCAAAGAGTTTCAGTTGGAACCTGGGCTGCAGGACCCAGCAATTTCTACTGCGTTCTGCGGAGAGGAAGCCAAGTAGTTGAAAAGGTTCAATGCTGAAAAAAAGGGACCCCCTTTACCGACAGGCATCAAGCAACTGGTTGTTTAGAGTTTAGGTCCTTGTGCCAGATGGTTGTGTCCCACCACGGATTGCTGATGAGAATTAGGGACCCGCCTCATTTTCAACAACCCAGCATCGGGTGGGCCAACCAACGGGAGGTTCTAACCTGATAAATCAGTCACCACTTTTTTTGTTGAGGCCCTTTGATTCTTAAGGGGGGGAGAAATTACAGTATTGGGGGTGTCTTGTTTTTAGGGTACCCCGTTTTTTGGTGGTATCAGAGGAAACCATTGAGGAAACCCACAAATTTGGGTGGCCCCCTTACAAAGACACAACCACATCCGAACCTAGGGTGGACTGCCTGACTCCTACAATTGCTGGTTCTGAGGATGTCGGGGTGCCCAGAGTGGAGCTCGGGCCGTGCGATGCAGCACCACCATCGCACCACCTGCCTCCCCAAGCCAATGGCACGCAGGCTGCACCTGCGCCTGGGTCAACCAAAGCCTTTGGCAACGAATCGGCGTGGTCGTGTGTGTGTATTCGCGCGTTGTTTCCTACCTTGTGGAAGGTCAACCAAAGATGTACTTGCAAATCACAAGATCGGCAAAGATACAAACAAGTCAAGTCCAAAACTAGGCCCATACCCGAGGATTCGTGAGGCTTGAACTCTAGAGTATTTTCTTCCTTTTTGCCATCCAGCCCCAAGGGTACCAAAGCAGACACAACCAGGCGCCATTGCCATGTCTTTGCCCGCTAAAACGAGTGCACAAGTGTTTACCCCTTATCACACCTGGAGCTGCACCCAGATAAAACACAGAGGTTAATCAATACCCCCAAATGACCATGCGTAACTCTTCCCATTTAGTGGGAAACATCGCCATCGTTTTAGTGGTTTTACCCAATGGGCATCCCATGTAAATGGCCGTTTGATCAACCCAAAACATATTTCCTTTAAAGGGTGCACTTCCATTTTGAGAGGGCAACTCATGGATGCCTATTGTACCAAAGAATCCCTTAAGTGATAACGTAGCCGTCGGAGTCGGCTCACATTAGGTGAGTTGGTAGATGGCAGAATTCCCTATGTGGCAAGAGATGACTCAAGCAAAGTGAGGTTGTGTCATCTACTGTTGACCAACTGTACCTGTTTGTTTGCGCAATTAAATGAGCCGCCATTTCCACGAAATGCTACCTCACCTCAAGAAGTATTTTTGGCTTCAACGTAAATCCTCGGAGGATGGCACGTAAGGCTCTCAGTGCGGTCTTTGCGGATCTCTGCGATACAGGGCCTGATGACCCTGTGGCGACTTGGCAGAGGACGAGGGTCTTTGCTTTGTCCAGCCGGCTCATATACAGAATGACTACACACAGTTATGCATGTTAGAGAACTCCATCGTATTTGCATGCATTATTGTGGTTATAGATTGTTAGTGCCTGTTGGGGGGGGGGGGGTTGGGGGGTTAGGGTGGGCATAGGCTTGTTGGTTTAGGGTTGGTTTAGGGTGGGTTTAGTGTTGGCTTAGGGCTGGATAAGGGCTGATTTAGGTCAGTTTAGGGTTGGTTTAGGGTTGGTTTAAGGGTTGGTTTAAGGGTTGGTTTAAGGGTTTAGTGGGTGGGTTTTGGGGTTGGTTTAGGGTTAGGGCTAAGGGTTAGGGGTGTAGGATTGGTTTAGGGTTGGGGTTTAAGGTTGGCTGTGGGTTGAGTTGTCCTACGTGTTGGGATGCAAGGGTGGGAGTTCAGGGGTCGAGGAGGGGGTGTGGGGACCGTAGCAGCGGGGTGTGGGGATCTGGAGGCTCAGGGTTGGGGTGGGGGGGGACCCTACCCTTGGGGGGGTGGCTTGGTGGCCTGGACTGGAACATATATCGCCCCAGTTGCTCAGTGAACTCCACCCGGAAAATATGACTGTGGGTCAAAACTAAGGGTACCATTTTGGGGTAGGTGCACCACCCATCTAGTCTGTTTTAGTGGGGATTGGGATGTTCACTGGGGGTACGGGATTTTGACCAATGGCCATATGTGTGTCGTTTCTGTTCTCATGAGCTCAGGTTACCCCCGATTGGTGGGCAGTTTGGATTGTTGGCTTGGGTCTTTTTGGCCATCCCCCCCATCCACCCAACTTGGGCTTCCATGTATGCTCATTGGTTGGTTTAGATTGGTATTTGAACCCTCGGTTCTTGTACGGGGCAAATGGGAAACCCTATGGGAAACCACCCCCTAACCTCTAAACCATCAGGCTCCAAACCACCAATCAGAGGGAAGCTGAGTTATATATCATGTTCTGTGGTGGTTTCCCACGAAAATTGCCACCCCAAAATGAGTTCCCTGTTGCTACTCGCGTCGCTGCACTGGAGAGCACTGGCGCGAACACGCGCGTGTGTTGATTGAAGTTCCGTATTTCAAACGTTTGTGGATTTCCTGAGTTTGCCCACAAATGTGCAAGAGGTTTCTCTTTCGATCGGAATCAGAAATTATGATCAGAATCTGTGGTGTAGTGGATCCACGACATCCTGCACCACTTTGAAACCATGGGAAAGCAGTGCTTGTTGGTGTTTACAGGGGAATCATCATTCCAGGGTCTCTTAAGTGGTGCAGGATTGCGTCCATCCACAGTATGGGGTTGGGCCAAGTCGGGGCTTTGATCATGACGCACCTGAGGGTCGAGGGCCCTCTCTCCTTGCTGGCGCTTCTGGGCTGGCCGTTCGGCCGAGCGGTGTGCGCCGTGCTGTGGTGCGGCTTGATGCTGGGAATTGCGGTATCCGGGAACTACGGATCCCTGGCCCGAAACTATAGATCCAAGCCACTCTTAGGGTTGGGGGGGACATCAATTGAGTGCGGAAGCCACACTTGGGGTAGTTCCGTACTAAAAATCATAGCGATGCTTTTTGGGGACACCCTCTTGTTGGGTTCCAAGCTGAGTCACGGGCTGAAGAGGAACTGAGTCTGGCGGTTGGGGAGCTTGCGGGGCTGGGGCTGGGATCTGATCGCTTCCCACTGGAGGACCTTCCCCAGCGGATTCGTTAGCAGTAAGGAGGGTAGGCGCTTGCTAGGCTGACCTTGGAAGGCAAGACTGCGGTTGGTTCGATATGTTGCTAAGCTGCACAACCATGAAAGACATGACGTAGATGCGGATTCAACATGTGGGTTCCCATGTCTCATTTGATAGCATGTTTGTTTGGTGTGTTTCCCCCACGGCTGAGGATTCTTCAATATCCTCACTTGCGTCATCGCCCTCGCGCTGCTGGACGACACCCAGCTAGGCCGGTCCTTTTGGTCTCCAAAGCCTTTTTGACTAGCGTATCCAGGCGGAATGAAGTACATGTGTTGACATGCTGGGGCGAGGGCGGTCCCCCCAAAAAAACAATTACCCTCCCACGCACCAACATGGAACATACTTGGGGGTCATGCAAGGCCCTTTCTTCTGAATGGCAACGCCGATGGGAGGGTTGCACACATTTTGCCATTACAGTGAACATAGAGCCCCTCTCGCGGAGCAAAATGGTTTGCCAGCTGTTTCCCATGTTGGTTTGGAGGGTGCTTGAAGAACGAACCCACCCTGAGGCCAAGCAACGGCCACACCCTTATGGCAATTTGGCATGATGGACGTTCCCTTGCTGACCCTCACAGCTGGTGCTTGGCTACTCTACACTGCGGCCACCTGGGCAGCTCTCTTCGAGATTTGTGGCGCGCAAGCGCCTTCTTGGCGCCTTAGGCTTGGTTCTTTGGGTGCTTAACAGCCCACGTGCCATGTGTTGCCGAGGTTCCCAAAAAGAGACCAAAAAAGGATTGATGTTTGGGCCTTGTCTCTTCAAAACAAGATCGGGGGCACCGTGGAGATAGCCTCCATCCGGGTCTGGGCCTCGGCCCTTGAAAAGCAACAAACCTTTCGAGGAGAGACAAAATCCTTGCTTCAGGACATCCAACACTCAGAGCTTCTCCTTCGAAACGGGTGGGGTGGGGCTAGGGAGTGATACCGTGCCCGTCACAAGGCACTAGATTCAATAGCTGTTTTGCATGTTTCATGAAGATTGCAAAAGCGCTCGTGGTCAGTGCAACGACATTTCTACGTGCTTGCTGCGTTTCCGCCTTTGCTCCGCGCAATCTTCGGGAAGAAAAGCAGGCGGCCATGCAAAAATGCAAAAGAATTCCTGGGCTCCAGAAAGCTGTGTTCCCTTGATTTTCCCATCTCGGGCTTGACGGGTTTGCATTTGTGTGGCGGCATGTGCATCGGCGGTTCAGTCAACCAGGGTTTCACCGGGTTCTTTGTGGGACCTAAAGGCGGACCTGAAAATGGCTGGCGCGTTGATGCCAGGGAGTTCTCCTTCCTCCTCCACTGCCTCTTCCCTTCCTCTTCCTGACTATTTGGCTACGAATTTATATTTCGAAACCACCTCACAAGTGGCTGGTCATGAATCTCCACCTAGATGATGTCCACAGGGCCCCCCAATAAAACTCACCAGGAGACTTCCACGGAGCAAAAGCCGAAAAAAGTTTTTCGAGGTGCGCGTCCGCGGAGCGCTGGTTGAAGCATCGGCGACTGGCGAACCGCTACGGCCTCTTCGCGCGGATGACCACCACCAGGGATGAGGTCAGATGACTCGGCTTTGGTCTTTGGATTTGGTTTGGCCACTCCACTCAAGAAGCGGGTTTTAAGAGGAAGCCCCTCAAAAGTGGTTGCACCTAAAAGCATAAGAGCAATGCATTGTTTGGGTTAGAGCAGCCCCCTTCCCGGGCATACAGGGATTGTGGAGTAGGATTGGCCATGTAATTATTGCTCAGCTTGTGAAGAGTGGCCGGACAAAATGGACTTCCCCGAAAGATCTTAACCCCGATAAATGAACCTTGTACTTTAAGTAGACGCAGGTGGTCATCCGGGAGCTGCACGAGCTACCCGAAGAGCTGGGGCAGCTGAGCTAAAGAAAGCCGAGTCAACAGATCTGATGTCATT